GCTCAAACAGCAACATTACACACTAACTAACGTTAAAAAAGTGAAATCGCAATCAACCACCCCTTTAATATCCTAATGATTTTTGGCATAAAAGAAATATAGATAATTTTGACCCATACAATGCATTTTTGGCTATTGCTACAAATATACCTGTGCTACTTATGACTGGTTTTGTGATCCAGGGTCACATATAATAAAATATAATTAATTATAGCCATAAATTATATATTATATAATATCAAATTGGGTAAATGTGTACATAATATATGTAATATATAAAATAATTAATATAAAACAGCTGTTTTATATTTTTCAACAATTCAATATCAATACCAATTTACCAAAGACTAGTAATGTATCAAAATTTTGGATAATGTAACTGTGATGGTCTTTACCAGCAATCTTGATGTTCATGTGTCCATCCAGCAGCAGATTCTCCGCCTTCAAGTCCCGGTGAACGATGTTTCGATTGTGGCAGTACTCAACAGCAGACAGAATTTGCCAAAACTTGCGTCGTGCCTCTGGTTCACTCAGCCGTCCATGCTTGGCTAGGTAGTCTAAATAAAGTTGACGTGAGGTTAACTAAACATCACAAATACACAAAGCACAGACCTGAATCAATTAAACATTTTGGATGGGTAATGTATTGTAATAAGGGTCACAATAAAATGTGACTGAACACACACACACACACACACACACACACACACACACAAAAAAAGTGGAAAACCATGACCACACGTTGTACCGGGAAAAAGGCTTGGCGGTGTGGTGTGGCTAGTGGCAGAGATTGATGAGCAACAATAAGGAGGCTCTGTGGTGTGAGAGTAGGGTAAACATCCCCCCGGATGGTGTAATCATGTGGTCACCACACCCTAGAGTACTGGGTCAGTCCCTGGCCCTCGGCCCGTGGCCAGACCTACAGTCCTCACACATTCCATTCCATACTCGCCTTGGGATTACATTGAGGTGGGCTGGCGGAGCGACTGTGGGTACAAGGCGTACTTATCTCTGGATAAGCTGTTTTTCAAAAATCAAAATCAATTTTCAACAGACAACAATTTGTGATCACAGGATTACCTTGGATAACCTATGTGCCTAGTGGCAGAGATTGATGAGCCACAATAAGGAGGCTTTGTGGTGTGTGAGTGGGGTAAACATCCCCCCGGATGGTGTAATCATGTGGTCACCACACCCTAGAGTACTGGGTCAGTCCCTGGCCCTCGGCCCGTGGCCAGACCTACAGTCCTCACACATTCCATTCCATACTCGCCTTGGGATTACATTGAGGTGGGCTGGCGGAGCGACTGTGGGTACAAGGCGTACTTATCTCTGGATAAGCTGTTTTTCAAAAATCAAAATCAATTTTCAACAGACAACAATTTGTGATCACAGGATTACCTTGGATAACCTAGCCTTAAAGGGATAGTTCACCCAAAAATGAAAATTCTGTCATTAATTACTCACCCTCATGTCATTCCAAACCCGTAAGACCTTCGTTCATCTTCTGA